AATCAGATATCCAAAATTTTCTTTGAGATTTTCTGGCTTTTGAATCGCCTTTTTAGTGAAATTATCCCCAACCTCAAGAATCTGTGCCCCAAGCAGGATTCAATATCTGCTGTGGCTTATTAATTCCCGAGTGGCCACATCTTCCCAACTTCTAAAAACAAGTTTTCCTATGTTAGGAGGGTGGGGCTAAGGCTGTTTCCCTGATCACAGCAGAAATCTCTTACAAAAGTGAAGTTGTTGCAACCTGGGTGCCCTATGCTTGGGCCTCCTGACCTCTGGACACTAGCAGACCTCTCCCCAGCTCAGCAGCTTCTCATTTGAAGGGAATAGGGACTAGAGAAGAGGTCTGGAAGCATTGGGCCAGCAAGGGCATGCCTGTGCTCGCCTACAGTCTTAGGCTGAGCTGGTAAGGGTGGGTTGAAGTGTTGAGAGCCCATGCCCCCATGTGTCAGGCATCAGTGCTTATCTGGTAACCACTATATGTGTTTGCTGTGTCCCCTCCTACCCTTCCTGTCCCTACCTTCCCCTACCCCCTGGCTGCTCCTCAGACTGTCTCTGGAGGTTATGACCATCCTGTGTCGCTGTGAGAATATTGAGACGTCGGAGGGGGTCCCGCTATTCGTAACAGGGGTTGCACAGGTAATAACCCACCTGCTTCCTCATCTATGTCTAACCGTCTCTCTTCCTGCCCTGTGGGACCTGGCAGAAGCCAATGATGGACTCTCCTGAGAGTGTGCCTCCCTCCCCTACTCTTCCCCTCTCTGCTGCTCTGGGTGCCAGGGTGGATCCAAGTAGATCCCCAAATCCTCTCCCTTTGCCCCTTGAGGCTGTAAGGAACAACCAAAGAACTCTGGAAATTCTGCCCAGGCAGCCCAGGGGGTATCCTTGAATACCACGCCTCATTATCGTGCAGCCATAGCTGGTGAATCTGTTCTTGACCAGATTGCTGAACAACTCCCAAGTGCTTTCTCTGTAATCCACATCTTCCTTGCTGTGTGTGCCAGCTCTTTGTTAAATACTTTCTTAGTTTCAGGCACTGGGGTTGCAGCAGTGAACATTAAAAAGCCCCTACCCCTTGTTGCTAGTAGTTCCCCAGGCTGGAGAGTTTTACATATAGCATCTTGCCCTTCCCTTTTGTTGGCACTGATGTCCTGCAGTTTTCTCGGGCAAAACTCCTGCTCCTTTCCTCATCCATCCTGCCAGATATAGTAGAGAAGGACACTGTTCACATCCCATTAGCCCATATAGCCTTGGGAAGGCAGCTTCAGTACAGAGGTCCAAAGAGAGGCTTGAAGTGCCTTGTGTGGCACAGGCGTCCGGGCCTTCCTCAACACTCTAGAAGCAGCCCCACTCCCCTCAACATTGCTGTACTTAAGACCAGGCCCCTTAAGCTAGGTGAGTGTAGACAAAAGGAGTCAGATTGAAGAGGCACACACACACACACACACAATTAAGACCAGGCCCCTTAAGCTAGGTGAGTGTAGACAAAAGGAGTCAGATTGAAGAGGCACACACACACACACACACAATTAAGACCAGGCCCCTTAAGCTAGGTGAGTGTAGACAAAAGGAGTCAGATTGAAGAGGCACACACACACACACACACACACACACACACACACCAACCTAGATGAATGTAGACAAAAGGAGTCAGATTGAAGTGGCATACAAACTCAAAGGAGTTTCTGAGATCTCTCTCTCTCTCTCTCTCTCTCTCTCTCTCTCTCTCTCTCTCCCCCTCTCCCCCTCCCTCTCCCCCCCTCAACCTAGGTTCTCTCTGACCTCATCAGCCCCAGAGCACCACATACCACTTCTTTCCTCCTTCCTTTTTCTCACAATTCAAGCCAGGATAACAAGCAAAAGACATATGTATACATATGTCACCCACTTACCCTTCTTCCCCTGGAGCTTCCTGCATTCATCCTGCCCTCCCTCTTACCATCTTCCCACACACTGCCATATACACACCCCCGAAGATGTCTCCTCCAGCACCCCTGGTCGGTCCCAGCCACAGTGAGGTACTAGACTCTCCCACACTCCAGACCCTAGGCCCCCAGACCCATGCCCCTGTTTTGCATTTCTTGGCAGGATTTCCCTAGAGATTATGACGTTGCAGCCCCGCTGCGAGGACGTAGAGACGGCCGAGGGGGTAGCTTTAACTGTGACGGGTGTCGCCCAGGTATAGTAACTCAGCAGCCCCACGCATGTCCATTGAGGTGCCTCTTCCCCCATAGTGGGGTTTGGGGGGAGGAGGAGAGGACACCAGCCAGGGGCAGTCTCTCTCTAGAATCCTTGTCACCCTCCAGCAACAGAGTCATCATCACTGGAACATGCTTATTTGGCCCCCTTGGCCACCCAGCAGAACTAACAGATTCCCCTTCTCTCCTCAGTGGCCTTCTCAGGACAAAACCAATGCTGAGGGCTCCTGTCTCACTAATTCACCCCCATTCTTTGCAGGCATTGGATATGATGGGCCCTGGAATCCAGGCCTCCCCTGTTCCCTGAGTGGCCCAGAGGAAGAGACCCTTCAAGTTCTTCAAGGGGCATCAGTGCAGCTTACCCCTCAGCTGGGGCCTTGGGAGGAGTATCCCACCCTAACCCACCCTCAACTTCACAGGGCACTGAGGTTCTACCTGTTCCTCATCTCTGGGAAGGGATTTGACTGAACACCTGAAGAGGCAAAGACACCTTTACACCTCTAGAACCTGTCTCCTGCCCTGTCTAGGCTCTTTCCAACTCCATTTGTCTGTGTCCCTACTGTTTGTTCTCCTTTTCACTCTCTGCCCCTAAGCCTGAGGGTCTCCCATGTGTGGGGAGGCTGCAGAGGAAGAGCTGGCTAGTGAGAGAACAGCGGGCTGGAGGCATGGGGGAACATGAGCCCCAAATGCCTGGGAGAGAGGCCCAATCAGGGCCTGGGGGTCATCAGTGAACACAGAATTCTCAGCCTAAGAGTTCCTTGTGCTGGGAGTGGTGGCACATACTTTTAATCCCAGCACCCAGGAGAGAGCAGCGATAGGAGAGAGAATCTCCATATGTTAGAGGCAAACCAGGGCTACATAGTGAGACCCTGTATCCAAAAAATAGTTCCTTGTGCTGCTCTTTCCCTTCTAGGGGCTTCAGAAGTCCCATTTGCAGCCCCAGGGCCTCCAGGTCTGAAAGGGGGCAGGGCACAGCCATCAGCCTCTGCACCTCAGGGTCTGGGGCCTCTATCTGCCTTCTGTCTGACTCAGGCATCTCTGTGACCCTGACAGGTGAAGATCATGACAGAGAAGGAGCTCCTGGCTGTGGCCTGTGAACAGTTCCTGGGCAAGAATGTGCAGGACATCAAGAACGTCGTCCTACAGACCCTGGAGGGGCATTTACGTTCCATCCTTGGTGAGGCCCTCCCTGCTCAGCCTCATACAGTCTCTGAGCCAGGGCCAGAAACATGTGAATGGCTGGACAGGGGGACCTATTCCACTGAAGTTTGAGCTAAAAAATTTTCTAAGTCTTTAATTTAAAAACTCAAGGTGGAGCCAGGCATGGTGGCGCATTCCTTTAATCCCAGCACTCGGGAGGCAGAGGCAGGCGGATCTCTGTGAGTTCAATGCCAGCCTGGTCTACACAGTGAGTTCAAGGACAGCTGGGGCTACAGGGAGACCCTGTCTCAAAAAGACCAAAAAAAAAAAAGAAAAGAAAAGAAAAACCACCTCGACTCAATAAGAGAACCTATCTCAGAAGAAAACGTAGATAGTACTCAAAGCTGACCTCTTGCTTTCACACATACCAGCACAGGTGTCCAGGTATACACAAACACACAATAATAATAAAATTTCAAGATGGTGACTTGAAGAGGGCATTGATGTAGCAGAGGGTAGATTCCTCAGACATCTGGTGCTGCTTGATACATTTGCTCCAGCTGCACAGTATTAAACACTGTTGAGGAGGAAACTCCACAAAGATCCTACTCAGACTGCTTGACCCTTGCATGCACCCAGGCTTGTCAAGTGCTTCCTCCCTTTCCCAGCTGGTTAGGCCCCTAGGGACTGGTTCATGAACCCTTTGCCCCCCAGGGACACTGACTGTGGAGCAGATTTACCAGGACCGAGACCAGTTTGCCAAGCTGGTACGGGAAGTAGCAGCTCCTGATGTTGGCCGCATGGGCATTGAGATCCTCAGCTTTACCATCAAGGTGAGGTGTAATGGGAAGGCTGTTCCCATGTGTCCATATGGGAGATGGAGGGGCACCCTTGTACCTTTGGCTGCTTCCTGGGATGACTGACTCCCTTTCCCTCCCTAGGATGTATATGACAAAGTGGACTATCTGAGCTCTCTGGGCAAGACACAGACTGCTGTGGTGCAGAGAGATGCTGACATCGGAGTGGCAGAGGCAGAGCGGGATGCAGGCATCCGGGTGTGTGGAATTTCCCTTTCATGCCTCAGGACAGTGAGCTGATGGGTGTATGGTTCCTCAGCAGCTGATCCTTAACACTACGTTTCTCAGGAAGCTGAGTGCAAGAAGGAGATGCTGGACGTAAAGTTCATGGCAGACACCAAGATCGCTAACTCCAAGAGAGCCTTTGAACTGCAAAAGTCAGCCTTCAGTGAGGAGGTCAACATCAAGGTGAGATGCCAGGGGTACCCATGCATGTTGCTCAGGGCTCAGGGTGTGCTAGCCAACCTCTCATATGCCGACTCCCCGGCTGCAGACAGCTGAGGCCCAGTTGGCCTATGAGCTGCAAGGGGCCCGAGAGCAGCAGAAGATCCGACAGGAAGAGATTGAGATTGAGGTTGTACAGCGCAAGAAGCAGATCGCCGTGGAGGCACAGGAGATCCTCCGTACTGACAAGGAGCTCATCGCCACAGTGCGCCGCCCTGCTGAGGCAGAGGCCCACCGCATCCAGCAGATCGCTGAGGGTGAAAAGTGAGGGCTGGGGCCTGGCAGGCAGACTAACCAAGCTGTTCCACCATCAGTGCTCTCTCCCTCTCCCAACCAGAGCTTGGAAACTACCCCCACACCCCTACCCTAGTTAAACTTCCAAGCCTGTTGTCTGGAAGACTAAATGAGATAAGGAGCCTGGAGTGCCTGGGATAGTGCCTGGCACAGAGGGCCTCCTGGTTAGTCCCCTCCCACTTGCAGCTGGGAACTATTCCCCACCAAAGTTGGCTGGACAGAGCACCTCCTTCAAATATCCCCCACCCCTAACAGCCACCAGAAAAAAAGGGTTGGATGGTTTGCAGGGCCCTAAGAGAGGATACTCTGGCACCTCTAACTAAACTGTCTGGCCCGGGCTTCCTCAGGGTGAAACAAGTCCTTTTGGCACAAGCGGAAGCTGAGAAGATCCGAAAAATCGGGGAGGCAGAGGCAGCAGTCATTGAGGCTATGGGCAAGGCAGAGGCTGAGCGGATGAAGCTTAAAGCTGAGGCCTACCAGAAATACGGGGATGCAGCCAAGATGGCGTTGGTGCTGGAAGCCCTGCCCCAGGTAAGGTTCCCAACCAAGCTCTCACTCAAAGTTCAGGTCTCTTTGACTAATGGGGCAAGTGCCAGAACTTCTCTGGGCACTAGTTAGTAACATCCACATGCAACTGGAGCATTGAATAAAATACACAGATGGGTGCCCAGACCCCCTGGCCCATGGTCCTTCCCTGCCACGCTATGAATTAGTACAGCCCAGGCTGCTTTGGGTTTGGGCCACTTGAACAAGGGAGAGGTACTAGGTAGGCAGGTGAACAGAGTCAGGGTTCTGACTACACTTTCTAAATACCGCCCCCCCTCTAGATTGCTGCCAAAATCTCTGCCCCCTTGACCAAAGTGGATGAGATTGTGGTCCTCAGTGGGGACAACAGCAAGGTAACATCAGAAGTAAACCGGCTGCTGGCAGAACTGCCTGCCTCTGTGCATGCCCTCACAGGTGTGGACCTCTCAAAGGTATGTACCTGCCTGGCTGCTGTGGGGAATCCCTGGACAGCCCATTGGACTGACCAGGCAGATGGGTTTAGGTCCCTACAGTCAGGACCTCATAGTACCTTCCATCCTTGCAGATACCCCTGATCAAGAATGCCACTGGTGCACAGGTGTGAGGCTCCTGTAGGCCCACGTCCTTCAGCAGCTGCCTGCCCTCCAGCACGTTTTAATACCACAGGGACAACAGGAACGTTACTGACTCTGGTGCCTTATTTTGTAGGGACCAGGAGTGCTGCGTGTTCAGGCCATCTCTGGCTGTCTTCCCTTCTCTCCTGTCTGTCTGTTATTCCTGTCCTCTCCTCTATACCCTTACATTTGCTGCCACATTCATCTGGTCTGTTTCTTCTACCCTCATCTTCCTGTGTGACTCGCCCTCTGGCTGCCTATTTCTCTTCCTACCCCCTACACACATCACATAGTTTAAGCTGAAGTTTATTATAATCACTGTCTGTGAGGGGTGGCCCTGCTGCTCTTCAGAATCCTGGTGCCTTCAAGTTCTCCATGTATCTGTCTGTCGCTCCTAAGCCCTGGCAGAGCCCAGCATGGGTGCAGGGGTTCTGGGTAGGACACCCACTCCCCCCTCTCCCAGCCTGAACTTCTTAGCCCTAAACCCTGCTCTAAAAAGCCCACAATCCACACACTCTTGCCCTTGAGACCTGGGCAGCCATGGTCTGTAAGGCCTAGAATTATTGCCCTTTACTTCACCCCTGGGGCCCAGGCCTACTCTCACACCTGCCCCTCTCCCCTGCACCCCAGGGGCACAGAGGCAAGGTCTCCTGTCTGTTGCAGCTCCCCCAGTTTACTACTGCCTTAGGAGGCCTTGCTTGTGCTCAGGGAAGACTCTTTCATTGGCATGTTCCTCATAGGTGGGGTGGATCTTGGTCACAACTCTACTAAGCCTTTTTGTTGGGGACAGGAAAGTGTATAGACCCTCTTCCTGATCATGCTCTGCTGTCCTGGGCATGGGACTCTCCCAGGGGGCAAGGCTGTGCCAACTCTAACAGAATCAAGTGCCGTAGTAGACTGGCCAAATCCCACTCCCTTTATGCCTTTTTCTTCCTGGCCAGAACAATGGGGTTCTACCCATGGGAAGCAGCTAAATCTTCTGCCTCCTTGTACCATTGGTGGCAGAAGAGCCCAGGGCCCAGGCATCCTGATATGGGTGCTGTGGGTATCTCATGGTCCTACTCTTCACCTCTGGCCCTGCCCCAGCCTGTGTAGCTGTTCTGCATGTGAATGCTGCATGTCTGGTCTGGGGCTTGGATATTGCACTGCCCCACTGCCTATCCCCTCTGGTAAAATAAAAATATCTTCTACCCACCCCTTTCATTGTGTATTCTGTGAGGAGGAAGACGTGGAGCCAAGAACTAAGTCCCCTTCCCACCCCAAACATAACCACTTCAGCATGCTGCTCTTAGCCTGTTCTTTCCTACCCCTAGCCACCTGAGGGCACCAGCACACTGACTATGCCCTCAGTAGGAGCCTAGGGTGACAGAGGCCAGCCTTGGCACTGAAGCAAGACCAGGGAAGAGAATGGAGGAGGCTAACAGGCTCTCCTTTGTCAATTCTGAGTCCTGCTCAGCAATGGAGCCCAATTCTCAGGCTAAGAGCATGAATTCTGATTGGGCTGTTTGGGCTTAAATTTAAATTTAATTTAATTTAATTTAAATTTTAGTTCTGTTGTTGGCAAATAACTTCATCTTCCCAGGCCTCAGCATTCTTTTTTTGTTTGTGGAGAATTTTGTTTGAGACAGAGTTACAAGTAGCCCAGGCTGGTCTTGGGCTTGCTATGCAGTCAAGGCTGACCTTGAGGTCCTGTTCCTCTTGCCTCCGCCTCCTAATGCTGGCATTATAGGCATATGCCACCACATCCAGCAAGATTTTTTTTTTTAATTTTTATTTTATGTGTATGTGTGTATTGCCTGCGGGTAGGTTAGTGCACCTGTGTCGTACAATGCCCTTGGAGGACAGAAGAGGCTATCGGATCCCCTGGAACTAGAGTTTCAGACAGTTATCATGCTGGGATTCAAACCCTGGTCTTCTGCAAGAACAACCAGAGTTCTTAACTGCTGAGCCATCTCTCCAGCCCAAATTTGATTTTTTTTTTAATTTTTATTTTTTTTAGAAAGTGTCTCACTATGCAATCCTGGCTTGCCTGAAATTGCTATGCAGACCAGGGCTAAAACTCACAAAGATCTACCTGTCTCTGTCTCCCCAGTCCTCTGCCTGCCTCTGGGAACTTGCAGAGATCTTCCTGCCTCTGCCTCTTGAGTTCTGTGATTAAAGGAGTGAGCTCCAGCAAGATTCCTTAATGTAAAAAAAATACAAAAAACTTGGGGCTGGGGAGATGGCTCAGTGGGTAAGAGTACCTGCAGTCATGCCAGGTGCGGTGGCAGCAGCGTGTACCTTTGATCCTGGCTCTGGGGTCAGGTAGGTGGATCTCTGTGAGATTCCAGTGTTCTTAACCGCTGAGCCATCTCTCCAGCCCCAAACACTGGCTTTTCTTGCAGAAGACCTGGGTTTGAATCCCAGCACCCACATGGCAGCTAACAACTGTCTGGAACTCCAGTTCCAGGGGATCCGACAGCCTCTTCTGTCCTCCGCAGGCATTGCACAACATGGGCGCACTTCCCTACAAGCGGGCAATACACACATACACATAAAAAAAAAATAAAATTTTTTAAATAATAAAAAAAAGAAAGATCCAGTCTCAAAGGAATAAGGCAGAGAGCAATAAAGAACCAATAAGCAGAGCCAAGCGTGGTGGTGCACACCTTTAATCCCAGCACTCTGGGAGGCAGAGACAGGCAGATCTCTGAGTTCCAGGCCAGTCTGGTCTACAAAGCAAGTCTCAGGCCAGCTGGGGCTACAGGGAGACCCTGTCTCAAAAAGAACACACAAAAAGAATAACCAATAAAGGCATGTACCCGCACACACACGTAGACACACATATACAAACGAGGCTGGCAAGATTGATCAGTGGGTAAAAGTGCTTTCATGCAGGGCTTTCATGAAAACTTGACCACCTGCATCCAAGCCCAAGGAGAGAACTGACTTCACAGAGTCTACAGAGTTTGACCTCCACACAAGTGCTGTTGTATGCATGCATTCACATCATAAATAATAAAAGCCTGGTATGGTGGTACGGGACTTTAATCCCAGCACTTAGGAGGCAGAGGCAAGCACATCTCTGAGTTCCAGTCCAGACCAGTCTACGTAATAAGACCCTGTCTCCAAAAAGAACACCTTGGTCTGGCCAGGCATGGTGACACCTTTTTTTTAAATTGAATTTTCATGATTTTCATACAATATAGTTTAATGGTATTTAGATCCCCTTTTCCATTTTTTTTCTTTTTCTTTATTTTTAGACTATGTAGACCAGGCTGGCGTGGAACTCAGAGATCAACCTGTGCTTCCTAAATGCTAGGATTAAAGGCATGTCCTTACCACCCAAATAACACAAGCTTTTTTTGTTTTGTTTTGTTTTTTTTGTTTTTTTTGAGCCAGGGTCTCCTTGTAGCCCCAGCTGTCCCGGAACTCACTATGTAGACCAGGCTGGACTCGAACTCACAAAGAATTACCTGCCTCTGCCTCCCAAATGCTGGGATTAAAGGCGTGCGCCACCACGCCCGGCGTAACACAGGCTTTTAATCCCAGTACTCAGGAGGCAAAGGCAGGTAGACCTCTGTTGAGGGCTAGCTTGGTCTACATAGACCCTGTCAAAAAAAAAAAAATACAAATCAGTAATAACCTAATATGAGCACTTTTCTTTTGAGAAAGGGTCTCATGTAACACCAAAACAAAAACTAGCATCTAGAATATATATATATAATATAGAACTTCTAAAACTATTCAGGAAGGTAAAAGATAACAACCCAGTAGAGAAATACAGATGACAGGCTTAGGCACCACACAGAAAGGTTAATAGATATATGAAAATGTGTGTGGCAGATTGTATTTTCCAAAGATAGTGGCAACAATATCTCCTATTCCACATGTTCCCCTTACAGTGTGACTTTGACATCCAATTAGAGGTAGACTTTATGCTTCCTTCCCTTTAAACTAGGTGGCTGGATGATTCCCACTATTTAAGTCACTCAAGTATGGCAGAAGTGATATGCCAAAACTATATGGTCCAAGATGACATAACTTCTGTTTTTTGCTTTTTTTGTTTTTGGCCTTTTTGAGACAGGGTCTTCCTGTAGCCCCATCTGGCCTGGAACTCACAGAGAATCACCTGCCTCTGTCTCCCAGAGTGCTGGGATTAAAGGTATGCACCACCACACCCAGGCAGGAGCCAGAGCTCTTAACTGCTGAGCCAAACCTCCAGCCCTATAACTTCTGTTTTATTTCATAGAATATTTTGTTTTGTTGAGACAGGGTCTCATATAGTCCAGGCTGGCCTTAAACTCATTATGTAGCTGAGGCTGGCCTTGAACTACTGATACTCTTGTCTCCACCTCTGCAATGCTGGGGATTATTAGTGTGTACCACTGCTCCCAGCTGAAATGCTGTCTCTTTAAGCTTTAGCCACCATGCAAGCTGTGAGGTCCTTGTACTATGATGAAATCTTAGCAGAGGGACCACAGGGATAAGCCCCAACAGAGAGAGCCACCTGGGAGGCACAGCTTTCTCTGGGCTGCATCTATAGGAGACCCCCCAAGCCAAGACTGCCCATTCAGATTCCTAAAATCCAGATCCCAGAAACTGAGAGATCGTTTATTTTAGAGATTTTATTTTCTAAGCTAAGTCTAAGGGCTCAGGGTACAGCTTAGTGGTAGAGCATTTACCAAGCATGCAAAAGGTTCAAAGTTTAATTCCTAGCCAGGAAGGAAAAGAGGGAAGAGGAGGGATGGGAGAGGAAGGGAGAAAGGAAGGAAAAGGAAAGGAAACCCAGCCAGCTGTGGTGGTGTATACCAAAAATCTCAGCACATGGGAAGTAGAGGCATAAGGATCAGGAATTCAAGGCCAGCCTCAGCTACATAGCAAATTCAAGGCCAGCCTGGATTACATGACACCTATCAGAGAGACAGAAAGGACTGGGGCCATAGTTCAGTGGTAGAATGTTTTACCTAACATGCACAAGACCCACATTCCGTCCCTAGTACTACAAAAAGAAAGTCCTGGTGGCATAAGCACTCCCAGCAGTTCGGAGGTAGAGGCAGGGAGATCAGGAGTCCAAGGCCAGTCTTGGCTACATGAACCCTATCTCAAAGAGAGAGAGAGATGAGAGAGATCTATACAACCATTTTGTAAATATATTTGGTAGAACTGACAGGATCTAATATAACTGACATAAATGTGTGTTTTTTAAAATATTTTAATTTTATGTGTAAGAGTGTATTGCCTGCATGTATGTGAGTACACCTGTGTCATGCAATGCCATGGAAGTCAGAAGAGGGCTTCAGATTCCCTTGGAACTGGAGTTAAGGATGGTTCATAGCCGCCATGTGGGTGCTGGGAATCTAACCCAGTTCCTCTGCAAGAGCAGTCAGTGCTCTTAACCATTGAGCCATCTCTCCAGCCCCATAAACATGTCTTTTAACCCAACTGTTCCATACCTGTATATTTGTGGGTACAATAATATTCATTCTAGCATCATGATTTTTATATGTTTTTAGACAGGATTTCTCTATAGCCCCAGCTGGCTAGAACTCTGTGTAGACCAGGCTGGCCTTGATCTGACAGAGATCCACCTGCCTTTGCCCTGGGGTGCTGGGAGTAAAGATGTGTGCCACCATGCCTGACTCCAAGGTTATGATTAAGGATTCTTAAATTCAAATTGGGATTCTTAAATTCAAACTGTGCAAAATGCTAATCAATTATACAATGGAAACATATAAAATTGAATACTATGAAATAATGAATTAATGAATACTATTCCATGAAACAACTTGGGTCGCCAAAATGTAATGTTAACTGAAAGAAGGTAGATATAATACATTCTATACCATTCCATTATATTATATAAAGTCCAAAAAGTAGGCAAAGGTAATTTATGGCATTAGCGATCAAGACAGAGGTTGCCTTTGGGGAAGCAAGAGTGACTGGAAGAACAAACACAGGAGGTTCCTGGGAATGTTCTGTTTCTTGACAAATGGTAATTGTGTGGTTATGTGCATTTTGTGACAGATCATTTATGAATCATGCACTGTTTGGATGTATGTTGTACTTCAGTGAAAAGTTAGGGATCACGGATACAGGGAGCTCAGTGGTAGAAAGCTTGCCTAGCACCCACAAACCTGGCTATGTTTGATCCCCTGAATAACAAAAAGAAAAAAGTTAATTAAAAAATAAACTGCCAGCCGGGCGTAGTGGTG